TGAGCGAGCGAACCCAGTAGAGGACGTTCATCGAGTCTGTCCAATAGTTGACGTCATCTGTTCCAACACCAACCGCTCCACTGACGTACTGACCCAGGCGTGCACCGAGTACTGCACCCTGCAGCTCAAGCTGAGGGATCGTTCGCCGCTTGATGGGAGCCGGCCGCGCCTTTGCCATGATCAACGTGACACGTGCTCCGCCATCACTCTCCGCCACTCGCACATAAGCTGCTGCGGCATATGCCAATGCGGAAGCGTCCGTGAACACATGGACGGTGATGTCGTTGACCCAATCATCTCCCTTGAAACAGCGACGGATCTTGAGGTGAGAAAGAGTGTCGAACTCACTAAACCACCGGCTCCATGAAGCAAGATGAGCATCTGGCAGCGTGTCGTCCCAGCCGATTCCAGAGAGACATAACTCTTGGAACATTATCTTGGCCCTTATGGTGAATGGCGACAGCTGACCCCTTGGGTCGAACAATGTTGCCATGCGGCTCAAGACTGACCGCTTCGTAAACACTGTCGGAGATGATCCCTTGTAGTGGAACGTGAAGTAGTCCCCCTTGACCATCCACTTCACACCTAAGGCTTTCTGGGACACCTCAGGATGCGAGGGGCTCTCTGCAATTGACCTGGACTCTGCCGCGGCCCGCTCCTCAGCAGGAATAGACGCCATGACCTCTGGGCTGTTGCTTAGCCACTTACGTAGCGTGAACCCGCCACGCTTCAAGAGGGCCTGAGTCTCCACTCGAGCAAGAATCGCCTGCTGTACGTCACGTAGCGACTTGAGAAGATCATCGACATAGAAGGAGTCCCGCACAATGTCGCTGGCAATAGGATCATACTGGTCTCCAAAGCGCTCGGCAGTAGCTTGCAAGGCTCGTCCAGCTAAATAGGGTGACGCCTTGATCCCGAAGACCAGCCGCATGAATTCGTACGTCTCAACTGTTTCGCCAGGCTGCCATAGGAACCGGTGGTATCTTCGGTCTTCTGGGGAAAGGGACACCTGGAGAAACATCTCCGAAACATCGCCCATCAGTGCGATAGGCTCAAGGCAGAAGCGAATCAGGAGCTTCACGAGGTCGGCCTGCAGTTTCGGTCCAGCCAACATCAAGTCGTTCACAGCAACATTATTTGCTCTGGCGGCAGCATCAAAAACAACGCGGACTTTAGTCGTTGCCTTATCCTCCCGTATAACAGCGAAATGCGGCAGATAACACTGTGATGAGCCGCATTGTTCAACTTCCTCAGTTGTCAGTTTCCGGATGTAGGACTTCTGCAGGTAGTCTTCCAGGACCTTCGCATACCTTGGCAGCATACCTGGCCGTCGCTGCAGCGATCGCATGAGTGCGCGGAGTCGGTTCTCAGCCAGCACCTTGTTGCTCGTGACATCAGGCTGCTTGGCGCCGTCCTTCCAGGGGATTCCGACTTCAAACCGACCGTCCTTGTAGTTCAGGGTTCGCTGAGTTGAAGTCACCGCTTGCTGCTCGTCCGGAGTCAAGTACTGGTCTGACTTTGGTAACATTCCAACCGCTTCAAGATCCCAGAAACGACTCACCAGGTGGTCCAAATTGGTACCAGCAGTGGTCACCGCATGGAACGTCGAATGCGTCGGTGTGGATGGACATAGTACTGGCCCAAAACAGACCCATCCGAGAGGAGTCTTCCGAGCAATAGGGTCACCATCGCCTCCATGACGTTCCTCATCCGCACGGTGAAGCACTGGTGAGTTCAAGCCAATCAGCAAGTCGAGGTGATTGTCTCCTGCTGTCTTGAACGATACGTCACGAAGATGTGCCCAGTTGTCCTGAATCTCCTTCCAGTTCACCAATCGCAGATCCGTCGTTACTCTGGGCAGGACATATGCCTCAAGCTCCGTAGCCTTGTCACCACCATCATGCTGGACCGCTAGCGTCACCACTTGGAGAGTGTCGTTAATTGCGCCACCACCGATAACGCCGACCGACACTTTCTTCCTGCTCCCCCCTAGACGGAGACGCCTAGCCAGACGCTCTGAGACATAGCTGCACGAGGATCCTGAGTCCAGGAGGACGTTGGCTGTAGCCTTCGCTGTACCACCTCTGACTTCTGCCTGCGTGACCATAAAGGATGTTAGCCCAGCATTGGAGTCGTCTGTAGCTGCTGTTGCATGCGCCGTGTTTTCACTCGCAGCCGGACTGGTGGACGCAGCTGCCTTACTGGAGGGCAGTGATGGCTTTGACTCGTGCAGAAGCGAGTGGTGCTTGCCACGGCAGTGAGGGCAACCGGAAGCAGCATTGCAGTCACGCGCCCAGTGACCTTCTCTTAGGCAGCAGAGACACAAATTCAGTAGACGAACCAGCTCGTTACGTCTCGACGTTGAGAGTGCCTTGAACTCATTGCAGTTAGCGAGCTGATGCGGACCACTACACTTGCGGCACCTCTGTCGTGCTTGCTGCTGTGTCTTTGAGTGGCCAGACGTCTTGATCGGAGCTTCTTGAGGCCTTTTTGGCGCCGTAGCTTCAGTGCCTATGAAAGACCGTTGCTGCACGGGGCGCTGAACAGCTTCATGATGCCTTTTTCCATGGGAGGGTTGACGGTCTGGCTGCTCGGTACGGTCATTGGCATACTTTGCCGTCTTCACCTTTTCTAGTAGCCAGGTGGCAAACACCTTGATGTCGGTGTTACCGTCTCCGTGCCTCTCAAAATACCTGATGAGCGTTGTCCTCGGCACCTTTTCGGTAGCAATGATGCACAGCTCAGGGCCCGGTTCAGAGCCGCACAGCTTCATGTTGGCGATTAGGCTGCGTAGCTTGACCGCATACTGCTGCAGACCCTCCACGTCCCTTTCGTTAGTGACTCGGGGATGGTTGAGCAGATCTCGGATTTGTTGCTCCAAGTGTCGATCTGTGCCACCAAACCAAGACTCCAGCTCCGCCCACGCGGCGTCATATGCTCCGGGGCCGTCCAGAAGGTCTTCAATGAGGATAGCGGCTTCTCCGCCAGCAACGGCCTCGCGAAGGCGAGCCATTTGGTACTCCTCAGGCAAAGATGAGTCGGCTACTTGCAAGAACCTCTGCCGCCATTGGATGTAATCGCGCCCTTTTCCACTGAACTTCGGCACTTCTATTGGCTTCAACCAAGAATGCCCATATGGACTGATGTGTGGAGCAGCAGGCTGTGCATACTGAGTCTGATATTGACTGTGAGCACTAGGCGCGGCTGCCTGTGCAGAAGGCCGGTAAGCTCTTGGTGCAACACTGCGTCTTGGAGATGGAAATGCAGTCTTAGCTGCGTGAGCTGAGGGTAGTGGTGGAAGAACTGAAGATGAAAATGCAGTAACAGGCTTGGCGTGAGGACGTTGCTGTACAGAAGGCATTGCTCTCGCTCTGAATGCTCCACCACCCTGCCCTTGAGTTTGACTGGGTGCTCCACTCACAACTCTGTTCACTGCGACTCCAGGTGTACCAGTACCACTACCTGCACTAGCAACGTAGGCAGCACTAGACACTTGAGTAGCGGAGTGTTGATGATGTTGAGGCTGTCCCACAAGCACACTACTCTGAGTAACACTAGCAGTTGTGAATGTAGCTGCATGCACAGCGTGACCTGGAGGTTGCAACGAGGATCGAGTTCCAGAGCTAGTATCAGCGCTGCTGCCCCTGCCTTGCATTCCTGGACTGCCTCTAAGTGCTAGTGCACCTCTGGCCCTAAGCCTGCTATCAGGGTAATCACCCACTGTCCCATCATCTTGAGCAGCTCCATGAATGGCATGATCCCTTTGATCAGCAGCAGCGGCAGCAGGCGTTTGCCAGGGAACAGCAGTGCTGCATCCGTCAGTGACGCCACTGTGATACATACCAGTACTATACATAGTCACTACTGATGCATCATCATCACTACAAGCTCTCAGGCTGGAACTGACACCAGGGTCTCCAGAAAACTCCGTTCCTCCGTCATCAGCACTACGTGGCGCGCTGTGGGCAAAATCTTCGCCCTCTAGCTCTTCCTCTAGAGGCTGCGCTGACAAGTCACCATCGCCACTGGGCTGACTGGCTGACTCCAAAACTCCTGACTCAAGGAGCGAACTAACTTCTGCCAGCGGAGAACAATCCTCGTTCAACTTCTCAAACCACTTTTCCAACTTCTCCAATCCTTCAAAATCTGCATCGTCTCGCAATTGATTCCTGTGGTCCTCGACCACTTCTTCGATTTGTTTTACTATTCCTTCGGCGTCAGCCAGGTACTTTCTGAGGTACCTCGCACTCGGCGACGACTTCCCATACTCCGTGTTCAATACCTTCAGCAGGTTGGTCAGTCTTCTCCGCAGGGAGGCACGAAACTTTACATAGTCGTAAGTCACACTTTGGGCTGGAGGTGCCTGCGAGCTGGTCTCCGGAGCGTCAGCTTCGGTGTCCTGCCCATGCTCGCGAGACAGCTCTCCACTCCCCGCGACAGTAGTGGTTTCTTCGTCGTCCATGTCTTCAAAATGCACGCATCCCGTCGGAGGTGCCAGTAATGTTTCGAATTGCGTGCATGGCCCAAAATGACCCAACTCTCACAAGATCAAAGGAGCGCACAAATATTCAACATAGACAAAAACTTCTTCTTGTTCCAACCAAAAACCCAACACAAGAGCTTCCCTGTCCTACAAAAAGTCACAGCAAAAAATGTAAATCAGCTGTTACGCATGCGCTGCCTACAACGGCGGGAAACTGAAAAGAGCAGGCACGTGCATGATATTACAATCACCAATAAAACCGCACAGCAAAGGGGTAGCTACACTTGAGATGAGAACAGGCCAAACATCATGAATGAGAAGCGGGAGTCACTCGGCCACACAGACCAATGAAACACAACAGATAGTCTATAGGGCAGCTCAAAGCCTATATATAGGCTTTGGTTTTTGTTGGTATTTTAAGAGTTTTTTTTATGATAAAAATGTTATGTACAGCTGTTATTTACAGGTATAATATGTACAAATGCTTCACTGCTGGATAGCTGAGCAGCAAACCTCATCACTTGTGCCATTCCTCAAAGCAATCAGAGTGAAGGCCGACATTACATGTGCCACACTCGTAATTGGTGCGTGAGCGCTTGCCATTGGCTTTGCACCTCACGCAATCACGCTGGGGGTTCTTTGCACTGCTCCCTTGAATTGCCCGGATCATGTGAGAACCAATAAGGCGACTCTCTGGCTTGTCCATGGCGGCGTCCGCTGACCGGCGCCGCTTTGCCCCGCTGCTGCTGCTGCTTCTTTCCTTTCCATGCGGTGTGCTGAGAAGCGATTCTGCAAGGTCGGCCATGAACTCGAGATGGGTCATGGGAGATGCTGCCTGTGCCTTCATGCCTTCTTTGTGTAAGAGGTAGGCATTGGTGGCAGCAGTATCCACGATCCAGTAAAAAATAGCATGCCACCATTTCATACATTTGAGACTGCAACTGTAATAGCCACGGAGCTGATCAGCGACATCGACGCCATCCATGAAGCAGTTGTAATCATGAATGACGTTGAGTCGTGTCAGCTCCACATCCACTGTGTGCGGAAGATGAGTCTCCGGGTTTACCTGACAACGAGGTCGGGTGAAGGTGACCACCTCGAGGTCATGGTGAGCAGTGGTCATCATCGGTACAGGCTTTGCATCATAGTAGGTAAGTGCCACCACATTTCGCCTAGATGCCCATTTAACAGTGCCGTGAGCCTGTCGTGCAGCTTGACCTGTTAGCGCCTTTTGCTTGACACAGTTTGGTATGCGATCAGCACGAGCTGTGCACGTGTACAGGTGGCCGAAAGCAAGAAGTTTCTCAGCAAGGAGAGCACTGGAGTACAGGTTGTCGACAAAAACGTGAAACCCCTTGCCGGGTAGCTGCTTCATCAGCTGGAACACGGCATTGAAGGTCTTGCTCAGGCCAACCTCCACAGCACCTGGTTGGTCAAAAGTAAACCGAAAAGACCAGGTGTAGCCAGTGTCAGCATCGCATAGTGCGTAGATTAAAAATCCATCGCCGGCTCGTTTGTATTTAATTCGCGATTTGTATGCGCATCTCCCACTGAAGGACACATCCATCTCGTCCATGCTAACCTGTTTACTGGGGGAGAAAAGCTCCTGGGAATGCTTCAGCAGTCCATCCAGCCAAGGGCGAACCTTGTACAGGGGGTCAAAATGCGGTGTGCCTCTTTTTGGCTCGGCAGCTGTGTTTGCCAGGTGAAGATATCGCTTAATCTGCTCAAAACGACGGAGGCTCATGGCACTCTTAACGGCATCAAGGCCAAACAACTTCTTAGAGGACCAATAGAGAGGCATGCTGGGGTATGGATGCAAGGAGTTGGTAAAAAGGATTCCCAGCCACACTCTCAGCTCTGCAGGGGTGATATTTGACCACTCTCTGGCATGAGCAGCCCCCTCAAGGCATACATCAGCAGCTCGTTGGTAAAAATACAAATTTGTTTGAGCACACGCTACCGTCAGCATTTCGTCCGTGATGTACAACAAGAATAGGTTCAACGGTGAACTGACTTGCTCAGGAGACAGCTCCACTCGCAGGCCTGGGGTACCTGTGAACTCAGGCAAGTCGTTCGATGGCATCGTTTCACTCCATCCAATGTCAATTGCATGTTCCCGTCTACTAGTATTATCTGTTCGGCTTGCTCCAGTAGCATCGTTGTTAGTTGCTGGAGGAGGTGGAACAGATTCTAGTGGACTCGCCGGCAGCTCATCATCGCTCTCTGCTTCAACACCCGGCGCAAACTCTACATCACTACTGCTCCCAGTGGCTTCAGCAGCCCCAACCTCCATCCTCAAACCAAAGCCTATAAATAGGCTCGAACAATTTACACAATATCCGCCAACTGAATACCTCAACCTGACAAAACTACAACTTCCTTCTTCAAAATTTTTTTTGCCAACACTGCCTGATATCGCCTGGAATCGCTTGGACGCCATTTTGGCCTTGTGCAGTTGTTTCCGTGGTAACAGGGAACAGGCAATCTACGCGCATCAGCTCCAAAGCCTATATATAGGCTTTGCCAGACCAAGAGATGTATGTGTGTATGTATGTGTGTATGTATGTGTGTATGTATGTGTGTATGTATGTGTGTATGTATGTGTGTCTGTATGTGTGTATGTATGTATGTATGTATGTACAGTAAAACCTGTGACTACCGACCACCCCTTGGTGCCAGCAAAAGCGGCCTTTAGTAGCAGGTGGTCTTTAGTTAGAGTTTGCACCGTGCGACCATAATTATATGAATCCCATTATATGATATGTATATCAAAATGCAGCTAATAGTACAATTCCCCAAGACTTGCGCAATGCCATTCTTATTTCAGGTCAAACAACACTTGGAGAGAAAGACGGAGAGATGGAGAGAGACAGAGAGAGAGAGAGATTATTATTTTTTGCGGACATCAAATTCAGCTCCTACTTCTGAAGCCAGGAGTCAAACGTTCCCTGTGGAAGTTTCGTTTTGCGCAGGGCTTCAAATTTGTTCATGCGATCAATCGTACCGACTGTCCTTGTTGCGACTTCTCGATTGTTTGAACGCGATCCTTCAGCATCAGGACCTTGTGGTGCTGCTTTGTTTCTGGATTCCTTGATGCCATCGTCGATTCGTGTGTATTACTGGGGTGACAGAGCCGCTTAGTCTTCGTTTCTCCTCCGAGTAGTAACATCAATCAGAGAGCGCTTTCGATGCGCTCTCCAAGACGTTTCCTATCAAGTTTATTCTAGACAGCGCTTGAAATTCTGACAGGTGTAGTGCAGTCCACACCGACTCCACAGTCAAAATGACCTGCGTTCATTTCTTCAGTTGTAGTATCGAAAGATTCCTTTCAAGACCACGGAAAATCATCCAAATTTCAAGAAGGAGCTTCGGGCAAAATTTGATTTCCTACAGCGCGGTCGTAGTTACGGGTCAAAAATAATCTTTGGGACAAGAAAAGGCGGTCGCTGGTCGCGTTCAGCAGGTAGTCGCTAGTCACAGTGCATTTTGAATGTGAGACCGTCCGTGCCTGGCGAAGTGGTCGGTAGTACCAGGCTGGTCGCTAGTCACGGTGGTCTTTAGTTACAAGTTTTACTGTACTGTAAAAGCCATTATTCTAACGAGGCGCATATATAACGATTTCCCAAAATTGACTGGTTTACGTGTACCAAAGGTAACGATTCTCACTCATTCTCAACGCTCACTAGCAACAGTATATGTATCGATTTCTGTATAACGGATTCTATTTTAACGACAGATTTCTCTTCGTTAACTCGTTAGAGTTAGCACTTCGTTATATATATATGGCTTTTACAGTAATACAATTCCCCAGGACTTGCGCAATGTCATTCTTATTTCAGGTCAAACAACACTTGGAGAGAAAGACGGAGAGATGGAGAGAGACAGAGAGAGAGATTAATTTTTTGCAGACTTCAAATTCAGCTGCTACTTCTGAAGCCAGGAGTCAAACGTTCCCTGGGGAAGTTTCGTTTTGTGCTGGGCTTCAAATTTGTTCATGCGATCAATCGTACCGACTGTCCTTGTTGTGACTTCTCGATTGTTTGAACGCGATCCTTCAGCATCAGGACCTTGTGGTGCTGCTATTGTTTCTGGATTCCTTGATGCCATCGTCGATCCGTCTGTATGACTGGGGTGACAGAGCCGCCCGGTCTTCGTTTCTCCTCCGAGTAGTAACATCAATCAGAGAGCGCTTTCGATGCGCTCTCCAAGACGTTTCCTATCATGTTTATTTTTGACAGCGCTTGAAATTTTGACAGGTGTAGTGCAGTCCACACCGACTCCACAGCCAAAATTACCTGCGTTCATTTGTTCAGCTGTAGTATCGAAAGATTCCTTTCAGGACCATGGAAAATCAGCAAAATTTCAAGAAGGAGCTTCGAGCAACATTTGATTTCCTACATCGCGGTCGCTAGTTACGGGTCAAAAATTGTCTTTGGGACAGGAAAAGGCGGTCGCTGGTCGCGTTCAGCAGGTAGTCGCTAGTCACAGTGCATTTTGAATGCGAGACCTTCCGTGCCTGGCGAAGTGGTCGGTAGTACCAGGCTGGTCACTAGTCACGGTGGTCTTTAGTTACAGGTTTTACTGTATGTATGTATGTGTGTTGATGTATGTGTGTGTGTATGTATGTGTGTGTGTATGTATGCACCAGTGGGTGACAAAAGACATCAGAAAGATGCAGTGGAGCAGAAGTAAAACTTGAAGGAGACAAAAGCAAGAACTGTATGTGAAAAAGGGCAGGTTATTCAAAATTTCGTGAGGAGCCACAAGTGGAATGTTACAAAAACAACCACCGATTGTATGGGATATGTCATGTCATTTGTGTCAGTGAATATAACCTATGAAAAGAATTATGCTGCAAGATAATCACGAGGCGCTATTATTGACCACGCAACCGTCAAACTACTTCAATTAGCATACGGCTGTATATTGTGGGACCATACCCTTTCAACTTCCAGCACGTAAGTTGCAGCCTCAGCGGCCTCATCATCAGGAGTACTGGCCGGCCACGTGGATTCCGGATTGCCCTTGGTCAATTCGACCGCTGCACATCAACGCCAAAACAGCATACGAGCACCACTGCCGTGAAGAGAACTATCACAAAACACCAACGACGTCTGGCTCACAATCACTTACTCCAAAATAGTGACTCAGACATTATGCTTTTTCTAGCTGGAATCTTCAACTCAGCGTTCACCCAAAAAAAGAACAACTGCGAAGATCCAGCTGCAAGACCGCCGTTTTTCTTGCCCAATCAAGTCTCCGCAAAATAATGCTCTCCACATAAGTGCATGCACGTGCACGCAGGGAAACTTCGCCATATTTACTATGTCAACGAATGAAATTGGTTGCCTAGCAGCAATGAAGTGCGTGTGCGTGTGCGCGTGGGTACTCGTATGATCGTAGTGTGTAACATGCCCACGGTGTAGTATAAGTATGTTTGTACATGTAGTAACTGTAACTTTTACTTAGTTACAGTCAGTAGAGTAAAAGCCTAGCAAGCAGGGTTACAAGCAGGGAGTAGTACAATACAATTACACAAGTGTAGTTACATGCCGTCATGCGCCCACGTAACATGGCGACTTCTTCAACGGTAGATCTACGCCACCCTCTCACAGTCTCAACGAACCGCACCAAAGGCTGTCATCGACAACCCACGGCCATGTCGAGGTAGTACTACATTGATTGATTTTATTTAAGGATTGCCCAAAGCCAAAGGCCGCAGAGCTAGAGGCCTATCGAGGGTCTCTCCTGTGTACTGTGTAAGTACAATCATGTAGTAGCAAGAGTCCATAAACGTTTATGCACTCTTGGTAGTAGTAGTAGAATTTACTGAGGCAATGCCCACGAAGTTAGTAAGGGTGCGTTCTTATGCCTGTACTGTATTCTCTAGCTTCTCGGAGAAGAAGAAAAGAGAGCGGATAGTATTATTTTGATAGATCTACGTCTCGAAGAATTCAGAGATACATGTATTTTGCACATCTAGCTGAAGCAATACAGTGAAGCGCCAAATGGGCCGCGATCTTGAGTGCCACGAATATCGAATGTAGTACGCATTGTGCGTATGCGAAACGGGAAATGCGTACACTCAGGATCAACACGTGGCTTTTAGCCGTAGTTCGC